GTAGTTCTCACTGCTCTTCTCCCCCGGCGGCGGCAGGAAGCCTTCCTCGTCCGTGGGCCGCTGGGGGCACAGGGTGGGGTCAGCCCGGCCCAGCCTCCCAGGGCCCTGGCCCCACTCTCCGCAGCCCCACTCACCTCCTTCTTGTCTTTGGCGGTGCCCGCCTCCACCTCCTCGCCTTTGCCGCTGCCCTTCTTGTCCACCCACAGCTCCGACTTCTCCACCATGGTCCGCAGCCGGTCCAGCTCCGCCTTAATGACCTTGTAGTTCTCCACGTCCTGGGCGGAGATCAGCAGCTGCACCTGCAGGGGGGGCGGCTCTGCCTGGTGAGACAGCGGCCCAGGTCCACTGCCCCACAGACACCCTGTCCCGTCCTGTTCAGGCTTCTGCTCCTGGCGTCTCCGCTCCACCGTCATTCCCCTCCACGTTTATAAGCCCACCGCCTCCGAGAAGCCTCCCCGATGGCTGCAGCCCCTGCACGCCCTGCCGTGAGCTGCCTCATCCCTGCACGCCCTGCCGTGAGCTGCCTCATCCCTGGCTTCAGTCACTCACTGCCTCTCACCCCTCGGCTGCGGCCTGTCACTTGTTCACTAGGACCCTGACCAGGGCGGGGCGGGCGTACTGGCATCACTGAGTGCTGCTCCCTCCCCCCTTCCCCACTCGGGGTCAGTGGGTGAGGGAGGAAGGCCCCTGGCCCCAACCCACCCCTTCAGTAAAACGGGCGTGGACAGTGACCACGTTGCCAGCGCTGCTGCCAGAATTCCGTAAACCCAAGGCCAACACCCAGGGCTGGTACACAGCAAGCACTTGTTAAATGCCAGCCCCATTCCACAGGGAGCCGCAGAGGCCACACCACGTCACAGTAACGAAGCCCTAGTGAGGGCTGACGGCGCGCCAGCCTGACGTGAAGCACTTAGCAAAGGCGCGCGAGATAGAGCTCGCCAGCTGCCAAGTGCGGTCACATCATAGGAAGTGACGGCCCGTGAGCCAGGCTGAGGAGAGATGCAAGTACCCAAGACTTGAGGAGCTCAGCAAGGCCGAGAGCCCCAAACGTGCTGTGAGCACCTCTTCCATCACCGCCAACCCCCAGTGCCCAGCGCAGGTGGTCCCCCCCCCCGCCCACTCCCTGAGGGCCGGGCTGAGCGGGCCGCACCTGCTTGAAGGTGTGCATGGCCTCCTGGCGCTGGCTGAAGTGCTTGAAGAGCAGCTGCAGGGCCCCCGAGACGAGCGGCGGGTAGTCGTGCATGGTGAGGTGGATGAGCACGCGCAGGAAGGTGCGGCCGCCCTCGTCGTCCACCTCCAGCATGCTGCTCGTCTTCCTGCGGCAGCGTGGGCACGGCTGGCTCGCTCCTGGCCACCTCGGGCAGACTTCCTGCGGCAGCGTGGGCACGGCTGGCTCGCTCCTGGCCACCCATCGGGCAGACCCAGCGCCCCGTGCAGTATTTGCTAAAACTACTGATGTTTTCTCACCACAGGACCCGCCCCCCCCCCACCCACCCAGGTCCCAGGGACTCCCCTTGATTGAGCTGGAAGCAGAGCTTCGAGGGGATTCATGGACAGAAGCCGGGGCCTTGAACACGGACGGGGAAAACATCTTTATCAACCTCTAACCAAAATGCAGCTCTTCCTTCAATGAGGAAAAACGAGCGGCACTTGTGACGCTGGCATCAATAGAGCCCCAGGTGTTCTCCCGTCACCTTGGAGCATCGCCAGCACCCGCCGCTGCTGGAGGAAGGGTGCCCGCCCCCGCAGGGCTCGTCACCTAACGCCGCCTAAGGCGCTCAGAGCCAGGCCGAGGTAGCTGGCACGCACATTGGTTCTCCTCGGTGTTTTGATGACTGCATCTCATGCCACTAGCTTCCTCTGTCATTTCATGTGCTTTATGTTACGAATTTATAAATGCCACCTCAGAGGGCCCAAAGGCTACACGAGACACAGGGTGTGGCACGGAAATGGGTGAGCCCCACTCCGGGGCGACCCTCCCCACTCCAGCCTCTGCAGCGGTGGGGGGTTTAACGTCCCTCCTGGCCCGTCCTAGTGCAGGGGCGCAAATGCCCTCGGGGAGCAGGGCCACAACCACACTGTCGCCTGTCACCGGGGTTGGGCAGACAAGGGAGGGTCAGGGCAGAAAGCCAGGGGATGACAGAGGGGGGCCCCGCCCTGCCTTGGGAAATGCAGCCCATCCCAGGGGTCTCAGGCCTGCGTTGCTATCACCTACCCAACCCACACACAACCCCCCACTTCACCCCTGGCCTTACCCCACTCCAAACATGGCCTCCGCCTGCTCCCCGATGCGATCCAGGTTCATGTTGGCAGCTGTGGGGAGCAAGAGGGGGAGATGGGGCAGGTGGGTGCCAGGTGCAGGAAAGATGGAGAACACAGGGGTGAGGGAGAGGGAGACACCCAAACCACCCCTGCTACACCTGGTTGGGCGGCAGCCCCTCTGCCTGCCCCGCCCCCCGTCCAGGCGGGGAGGTGAAACCATCCAGGGAACGGGCTGCGCAGCCCACTGTCCCGCAGGGATGAGCGGAGTCCTGGGCTGGGGGTCCTGGTCTGGCTCAGCTCCTGACTGGCCATGATTCGGGGCAAATTCCTGCCCCTCTGTGGGCCTCATTGAAGGAATGAAGGGCATGGTTCCTGACCTTTCCCTCACTGTGGCAATTAAGTGAGACTATGGGGAGGAAGGCCTTTGCAGGTTGGGAAACAGGCAGGTGTGGGAGCTGCCCCCAGGCTCCCCCGCAGCTGTGTGGACGGGGAGGCGGGTGGGCTCACTGGTGGAGTCGAAGGCGGGGGCTGTGCCGTCAGCACCGCTGTCCTGCATGGGAAACACCTCCACAAACTCCTTCTTGAAGACGGACAGCAGGTAGGAGATGCGGTAATCCAGGCGGACGTTGAGGATGAACTGGAGGAGGGAGAGGTGGGGTGAGGACTGGGCTGAGACAGGAAGCCAGTCCTGCTCCTGGGGCCCTGGGGGGTGACAGGCACCCAGAATGAGCTCTAGCATTCGGGGCCTCAGCACAGTTCTTTGGGGGTATCATGAGACATCACGACCAAAACAATCAAGACCCTGCTCCCCAGGGAGGTTCAGGGCGCCCTCTGCCCAGTTCCTAAACCTCCTCTCAGAATGAGGCAAGACCCCACCCCCAAACCACTTGGCCTCTCTCCCAAGCCGGACACTAACAGGAAGGGGAACGGAGCTCCCCAGGTCTGAAGGCCATCTTGTGTCCTCCCACCCTGCCCTGCCAATGGGCCCTAAGTCTCCCGGGGCGGGTGGGGAAACCGGGGACTGTGAGGAGGCCAGAGGTCACTGTGGGGTGGGGGTTAGGACAGTTTGCACACACCCCAACTGCCTGCATCCTCGTGGGGCGTAGAGCGTCTGGCCACACCCCAGGACTCAGGCCTGGAAGCCCAGGCCTGGGAGAGTCAGAGCCCCTCCTCTGACTCCCCTGAGCAGGTCCGGCCCACACTGGGTCGCCCTGAAGGTCGCTGCATTTCCCTTCCCATCCTGTGGGGGCAGCAAGGCAAACGCAAGGGTCCTCCTCCCGCCTCAGGGCCCTGCCAGCCCCCTCCCCAGTGTTGCTGGGCGTCTCAGAGGAAACCCAAGGAGGGAAGACTGTCTGCCCGCCAGGAAGCTGGCTCCCCAATCTCTAGCTCCGCTTCAAAACCTGTGTGACGTGGAAAAGTCCCCTCCCTGTCCTGTCCTCATCGAATCGCCGGGAGGGCTGTCACAGCCCGGACTGTGGCCCCACCTCGTGTTCTGGTCCCAAGTCTGGGCAGGGCCCATGAACCTGAATTTCTAAGTCCCCAGAGGGTGTGGGGGGCTGATACTGCCGGTCCCAGGACCACACTGTGAGGACCCTGGCTGCACAGCGACCCTCATGCGACACTGTGATCTAAGGGGAATCACCCACCCACCTCCCCACACCGCCCACCCTCCTGCCCATTCCCACACCTCCCACTGCTCCCGCCCGCCGGCACCTGCAGGATCTCCAGGATCTTCAGCTTGGTCTCCATCACCACGATGTCCTCATTCTCCTCGAACTTGCTTCTGTCCAGCGGCTCCGCGGCCCCGGCCTCGGCAGGCAGGCTGGGGGCTCCAAAGACGGACTGCTTGCGGTTCAGCACCATGGTGGACATCATGTGGCCCACACCCTGGATGGACCGCCGCACGTTCTTGCCTGAGGTGTGGAGAACAGAGGGGCTCACCGAGGGTGCACGCAGCCACCCACACCCCCCACCTGTCTGACTCATCTCCATCAGCTGCAGGGCAAAGCCCCGCAAGGAAGGGGCCGGCCAACCCCCCCAGGGAGGTTCAGGGCGCCCTCTGCCCAGTTCCTATACCTCCTCTCAGAATGAGGCAAGACCCCCCCAAACCACTTGGCCTCTCTCCCCCAAGCCGGACGCTAACAGGAAGGGGAACGGAGCTCCCCAGGTCCGAAGGTCACTGTATGTCCTCCCACCCTGCCCTGCCGAATGGGCCCTAAGTCTCCTGAGGAGGTTCCCTGGGGGAGGTGAGCTTGAAGCCAAATCTGGGAAAAGGGAGGGCCAGGCAAGGTGAGGAGTGGGGAGACCAGCGAGAGCTCTCAGGTGGCATCGTGAGCTGCTGCAGGGCACGGGGCTGAGGCCGCGGAGAGCACTAAGAGCCAGGTGCCGTCTCTGTGCACTGTTTGTTTAGCCGAGTTTGTGCCACCTGGGGGTGTCCCTAAGGGCAGGGCTGTGGCTCGTCCCTCAGGCTGCCCCTCGCTCCTCACACTCCCCAGTGGCAGGACTGTGTCCCCCTCATCGGACAGGGAGCTCCCCAGGCAGGGCCAGTGTCTCCCCTCCTCCCTCAAGACAAAGCTGCACGGAGTCTCCACAGCCCAGGGCAGGGGGCCCTGCTGGCCCAGCCTAGGGTGAAGGGATTGGGCCGAAAGACACCCCCTCACAGCAGAGCCAGGAGGCGGGCTGCACGAGGAGGGGGTGGTTGATCGGAGAGGATTTCTGGTGCTAAGAGGAGAAGGAGGCACTGAGGGTGGGCACGGGTGGCTCGGTGGTTAGAGCTCACCACCCGAGTCCTCGTAGGCCTGCAGCATGGCGGGCGGGCCCTGCACGCAGTCGATGATGCTGAGCAGCGTGCGTGTGAGCCGCAGCAGCTCGCTGAAGCTGTAGAAGCCGAAGTAGATGAGATTGTGCGCCAGGCTGACCACCTGCGGAGAGGGG